TGTGTGTGTGTGTGTGTGTGTGTGTGTGTGTGTGTGTGTGTGTGTACACGCATGTGCGTGTGTGTCATTTTCTTTCAGAAGAAAGCTTAGCTTTCTGCAGATGGACAGGAGCAGGTCTGAGTAAGCATGTCTCAGGAAAGAGACATCTGACAGGGTCACCTCTGCCCTGTGCTACTCTTCCAATGGTCAATCCCAGTCTAACCACTGTCCCCAGCGGACACTGCCCATGTGTGGGATCCTGTGAGACAGGTGGCCATTCTGTATTTGGGCCTTGATCCCTTGTTCTCCTCTCATCTACCTGGAGTGAGAATCATGACCTTTAGACCAGGGACAGAGCTACTTCCTCCACAGGAGGCTGTGGAGCCCACTCCAGTGGGTAGAGGAATCAGGCAGAGCCACAGCTTCCTCTAAATTCCTGGGGCCTAGGAGTCAGGGCTGGGTAGTGGTGGCTAGTGTGTGCAGCCTGGCTATGACACAGGGTACTGGGCCTGTTAGTGTTCTGACCACAGTGACCAGACCACAGTGACCTGACCACAGTGAACAGACCTCAGTGTTCTAACCACAGTGACCAGAGGCCTTCAGCACCATTTACACAGTATTTATCTGCCCCAGGGCTTGTGTCTGACACAGAAAAAGGACCTTTGATCCCCAAATGATCCAGGGTGACCACCCATCCTTCATATTTCCAGGTCCAGCACTGCAGGCTTGTCAAGAACAACAGGTCTAGGTCTGAGAGTGACAGCTCCACCGACCCTGTGTCACCCAGGCATCTTCCCTTCTGAAATACCCTGCAAAGACCTCAGTCTTACAGCTCAGAGCCTATGAGAACAGGGCTAGGAGTTCTTACATGGGGTTCTGTGGAACTGCTGGGAGTCCTTAGTAGTCACTTTGGTGGCTGCCAACAGTGTGAAGCGCTTGGGCTCACAGCCAGTGATGTCAGCCATGTTGGGCAAGGGTAGGTTTCCGGCGGCAACTTTGGGCACATGAGGGGCCATGGGGACCAGGAGCAGCAGCCAGGCAGTGTGTGCTGGTAGGCAAATTAGGGGGCTATCTGCACTTCCTGGCTGCTGCTCCTGGTGTCTGCCTCACCTTGGTCTGGCTCACTGACAGCAGCTGGTCACTCTTCTTGCACAAGTCCTCGAAATATTGCCAGTTTCTCTCTGACTGTGCCATACTTTTGAGACCCTCTCTAAAGTGCCCGTCTTCTCTCCTAGGCAGCCCTGGTTCTATGGCTGGGGATTCAACCTCCCGAGAGGCCAAGCATTGCTGGAGAAGTGGAATCTCATCCCAGAAGGTGTTGATATTCTTATAACTCATGGACCACCACTGGGTAAGGTCTTCTGTCTCTGGTTCCTGCTCAGGAAGGACTGGAGGCCTTGAGGGTGGTGTGTCCTGTGTCTGGGGCTGTGCCCAAAGAAGCCCTGGGTGGGCCAGCTAGGTCTAAGTTGCTAGGGTGCCACCTTTACTTAGCCCATGTCCCCAGGGCTTATTTGCCACCTCCCAATATTGCTGCTGCTGCTGTTGCTCACCTGCTACCACTTCTAGGATCCACTGGCTTTCTGCCTGGAGCCCTACAATGTTCCCCAGCTGGTCCCTTCTCCGTCCCTTCTAACCTACCTCCAGTTCCTTCCTCTTTTCTCTGATGATGCTGTTGGTCCTCCAAGCTTGTATCTTGTGTTGACTACTGTGGTCTCCTCACTGCCCTCCAATCCTAGGCTTTTGTTCCTACTCCACTTTTACTGGAGGATGCCCTGAAGCCCAAGCCTCTGCTGGGACAGCACAAGATGTTGACCAGGCTTGTGCCCCTCTCCCACAGAGCCTCCAGGCCAATGGGCCAAGTCCTTCAGTTTTATCTGAGCTGTGTGGGTTCTGTGGCCTTCCTCCTACTCCTCTTCCTCCCCTCTATTTCCTGTTCTCCTCCCCTTACTTCCTCCACTTTCTTTTCTTCCCTCCTTAATTTCCTCCTCTTCCTCTCCTTCCACTCTTCTGATTTGTCTGTTTACCCATCCATCCATCCATCCATACATACATCAATCATCCACCTATCAATCCTACACCCATCCTCCATCATCCACCCACCTTTCATCCATTCTCTATTTAATCCATCCTCCATTCAATTCATCAATTCATTCATTCATCATCCTTCCTCTATTCCTCCATCCATCATTGGATAATACTCGATCTTTATCTCTCATCATCTATCTGTCCCCTATCATCTATCCATCTGCCAATCGTCCATTTACCTATCCATACACTCACCCACCTGTCCATCCATCCATTTATCCCAAACTACATCCTTTGGCCTCCTGCTCTCCAGATGCCCTGCCTTAGTCACAAAGCACACTGCACATGTTTTGGGAATGCCTGGGTACCAGGTGTCAGCAGGTGCTAATGTACCTCATTTCAGATTGTAGTCACCAGGGCAGTTGGGTAACTACAGTTAGAGGATAGTTAGAGGCCCCCAGCCCCAGTTCTGTCTTAGCCTGCACTGCCACGTAAGGATGGGCCTCTGTGATTCCAGTTCCTAGGGCAGCACTTCTGACAGGTGGGTAAAGCCAAGACATAGGAACATGAGCCTGTCTGTGCAAGGTCTAGGAGCTGCAGAGACTAGGACCTCGCTCTACCATGAACCCCAAGCCACCCTATCACCCACTGCCTGTGTCTGTTTCCCTTCACTGCCCCCTTCCTCTCCTCTTTCCTCTGCTGGGCTGTGTTTGTGAAGCTTGCTGGGTGCACTGAGTTGAAGCTCTCCAACCCTTGCTGGCAATTCCCATAGCTTGTCTCACCCACCCAAACAGAGAGGGGCCGACAGCAACCTGATTGCTCACTCGAGTCATCAATTATTCTTCGTTTGTGTAGCCATGTAAGGATAATAAGCCACCACCATATGGGGCAGCTCCGGGAGGCTGACGGCCAACAGACACAGCGGGCACCATGAGAGCGTGTCTCCGCCAAGGAAACTAGCTTCGTGCTTCAGTGCACACCCTCCCCCAATCTCATGTATCCCAGGCTGGCCTCAAACTTTTTGATATAGCCAAGGATGACCTTGAACTCATGATGTTTCTGCCTCCACCTTCTCGGTGCTGCAATCACAGCCATGCACCATCACATCTATAGTGCCTCAGAGCTTCATGCCTGGTAGACAAGTAGTCTATCAACAGAGATATGCCACAGCTTCTGTGGGGTTTTGTAGAGAAAGTTTCTGTATTGGAGATCTCCCTCTGAGGCTATGGGAACTCTACACTGCTTCCAGCCACTGGAGTACCACGGACTCAGTTTGTTCTGTGAAATGGGTGGCTACAAACAACCCTTGGGGCTACTGGAGCAGTCACGGGCTGAGATCTGTAGTGGTTATACAGAGGCCCGGGTGCCTGGCCTCCCTTGGCTCTTAGGATGGAGTCGTTCATCACAGCCCTGCCAACGTGGGGAGGTTGAGCCTTGAGGAGCTGCCTTGTGACTGGGCTTCTTTCTAAGGGCAGAAGCAGGGCAGGGATCTGGAGTTTGCTACATTGGGAGAGAGGAGGTATGCTGGGGCTATAGCATAGCACTCCAGGTTCCACCGAGTCTGCACTAACAGATGCACTAACTATCCCCATCAGTGACCTCATTGTCTCCCCACACAGGCTTTCTAGACTGGGTCCCCAAGAAGATGCAGCGTGTGGGCTGCGTGGAGTTGCTCAACACAGTCCAGAGGCGAGTCCAGCCGCGGCTGCATGTCTTTGGCCATATCCATGAAGGTGAGTAGGCAGGTGCAGAGGGAACCTCACAGTGGGGCACTTCTGACTGGCCCTTCTGAGGGGTCTCTTGCCTTCCTTAAATCCTGCTCACTAGCTCCCTGCCTGACTTCTGCAGAAAACAGCCCATTTCCGTGGTCCATGTGTAGACTGTCTCACATGCTCGCTGCGTGGGATGCTGGCTGGAAGGTGAACTCACTGGAGTGGCAGGGATGTCCACACTGTGGGCAGGTGGCTCACAGTCTTGACCACCCACACTGCCCTGCAACCCATCCCTGCACACCAGCTTACCTTCTTAGTCCTCAGGCATGCCTCCTGGAGCCTAATCTCAACAACTGATGCACCACCTGTGGTAGGAGGGACTCTGTTGTTACTCTGAGACATTTAACTCATCTATCCCAGGCCTCACAGTCCCACCGCTGACAGGGACTGAGGTGGGGTAAGAACTGACAAAGCTTATCCCAGGAGTATTTACTGGTCTGCTGACCCTGTCCGTGGTTGGATCAGGGCTCCTGGGACTTCACATTGCCTGCCTCTGATAGTAAACAAACTCTAGCCATTTCCTGAGTGTCTCTGTGGTGTCCCTGGATGGCAGGATCAGGGCTCCTGGGACTTCACATTGCCTGCCTCTAATAGTAAACAAACTCTAGCCATTTCCTGAGTGTCTCTGTGGTGTCCCTGGCAGTCAGGATAGCACGGCACACTTGTCTCTGGAGAGGCTCCTAGATTGCCGAGCAGCAGCCAGGCAATCCAAAGGCAGAACACGGGAGCTCGTGGGGCGGCTCACGAACCCCAAGTTTATAACAGTGGCTGTATTCTTGGACCCTCCTGTGTGCATGCAGGACCAACATATGTAAGGTTGCCTGTGGCCCAAACCATGCCCCTACATAGGCAAAATGGAGCTCCAGAGAAGAAAGGAAGAGAGGGTGTCCCTTCTGCTGTGAAGACAGCCTGAACTAGAAGGGAGTTCAATAAGCAGAGGTGGCAGGGGAAGGCGTGAGATTGGAAGACAGGAATGTGACAGTGGGAACTGTGGTGATTGTGAGGACAACAGAGATGATGATGAGGCTCTCAGTGGTGATGCTAGTGGGGACAAACATGGTAGTGGTAGTGACACTGAAAATAGTGAGGACGGTGGTGATGTCACGACAGGGCAATGCTGGTAACGTCGAGGGTGTTAGTGGTGGTAATGATAGCATGGCAATTGTAACACTGGAGTCGATGACGTGGTCATAAGTGGTGGTGTGATGGTGATGATGTGGATAGGGTTAGGGTTGGACGAGATGAGGGCTGAAGGGTTGAAGAGGACGAGAACATTCATTGTGGAAATGCTGAGGCCATGGTGATGACGACAGCGTTAGGGACAGCAAAAAAGATGGCAGTGGTGTAGTTCAGGGGATAGTGTTGGTTCAGGTCATGGGGCTGATGACAGTGATGGGATGGTGACAAAGATGGCAGTGGTGTCGATAATGACCCTGATGGTGTTGATGACATCATCAGGAGATGATGTCATTGTAATGATGGCAGTGGTGGGGATGATACAAGGATTGTGATGCTGATGATAATTTGACGGCTTTTGGTGATGATGGTGGTGGTGGTGGTGGTCATGGGGATGGTGACAGTGAAGGGACGGTGACGGTGGCTATGATGATGCAGCCTGTGGACACAGCATCTGAACACACCTGACCACATCCAATGATACTGTGATGTTGGGGACTATGGAAATCAGGTGAACATCCCTGAACACATCTGATGATATGATGCTGCTGACAATGCTCATAGGGACCAAGCTGATGACACCATGGTGATGATGCTGATGCTGAGGAACTCAACATGAGGATGATGACAGTGACTTACTATGTGCTTCTCCTGTGGCGAACACTGGTCTTAAGAACTGCACATGGGTGGTGACCTCAGATGGTCCTCCTGGTAGGCTCAGAAGAACCCTCTTATCATTTTCATTTAATGGATAAGACCCCCAAGTTTGAGAGATGTAGCAGCTTTGCCCCAGACATGTCTTGTCCGCGATGGCAGAACGACAAGTAGCTACCATAGCCACTAGATAGCTCCAGATCCTGGTCTGACAGGTATATGCTTGCTTTCCAGGGTATGGTGTCATGGCAGACGGGACCACCACCTACGTGAATGCATCCGTGTGCACTGTGAACTATCAGCCTGTGAACCCTCCCATAGTCATTGACCTTCCCACGCCCCGGAACTCCTGACTGCTCCCCACTCCAGCTCTGCCTGCCCATGTCAGCTCCATATGTCTGGCTGAGAGCCTGGATCCCCTAACCCACTTCCTCCCATGCAGAACAGCCCAGACAGTCCATCTGGCCATGGGACCAGCCAGCAATGAGTAGACTCCTTGGGATAAAAGAAATTGCCTTTGACTGTCAGCCTTCTGCCACCTTCAGCTGGGGCCTTGAGCAGCCCCATCGGGGCTCCATGCTCACTTCTGTTTTCCGTGTGCACATCTATCCTTCATTGCAGGGCCTCACAGGCTCGCAGCCCTCTCTTACTCGGGAAATGACAGAAGCGTCACCCATGCTCAGTTCAACACTCTCCTACTTTGAGAAGCCGCTGCCCTTGGATGAGTTTTGGGAATTTTTATACAAAATATCTTGCTACCCAAGTGCATCTGTGTGGCTGTGAGCCCCAAGGTTGGGGGAATGTGAGGCCTGGGCACAGACAGCCCTTCCCTGGCTGGATGCAAGGGGATAGGCCTGTTCCTTGTGTGCAGGGATCTTGGAGTGTTCAGAGACATCTCAGGAATTCCGACAGCCCCTGATCAGGTCTCCAGCAGTTAGCTTGGCTTAGTCCCTCTTCTTTCTTAGGACCCTGCTGTTGCTGTGGACATGGCTGAGTGTCCCCAGCTTCTGCTGGGAGATGATGAGCCTGGATTTGGGGGCTTGGTTCTTCTGGGTGGCCAGAACCTGCTGGTTCCTTATTATGTGAGGCCACCTTAGATTCCCTGGAGCCACATGACTCTGTAAATCACAACACCCAGGGGGTTCCGCAGGCTGAGGCCCTGTGCCTGGTCATATACATGTCCAGTGTGTATGGCACACACCCCTCCAAATCTAACCTGGTTCTGTTAGTATCCACCATTCCTTGATGTGAGTTTCCCTTCTGAGGATTGTTTGCTGGGCTTGTCAGTACCACTAGTCACTGGGAGGTGGCGTAGTAACAGAGCAGCCTGGGCTTTGATGGCAACAACACCTGGGGCTGCAGCCTTTCTTGGGTTAGGCCTGGGTGAGCCCATCTGCAGGGGATAGAGCCAGCGAGGCCCCACGTCAGGGGCAGGCAGGGTCAGAAGTAGTCTTTATTTAAAATGCTGATATTTGTTCTTTGTGGACTATTTTTGCACTCACTCTGATTCTTAGTAACACATCACAAAAATACTATTATTTGCTGACCCTTGCTGTTTTACAACTTCTATGTCATGCATCTGACATAAGGGCCTCGATTCCTCAGCCTGGCCCAAGCCTTGGGGACCACCTCTCCTGGTACCTTTTATTCTATATAATTTGGGTTTATCTACACTCATTCCTGCAACATAGGTAGCTACTCTTGCCCTGTTATAGAAATGAGACCACTGAGGCCAGAGAGATGAGGTCACTTGCCTGAGGGTGCACAGCATAAAAGGGGCAGCAACAAGATTTTGACCTCATTTCTGGCCTCACAGCCCTCACTGTCACCACCAGAGTTCTCTCCCTACAAAGCAGGGCATGGGCCAAGACTGTTTAATTTTGAAGGGTCCTGTTCAAAACTGGCTCTCATTTATTTTCAGTTGAGAGTCCCTTAGACCATAAGGAATTCTGAGCTTTAAGCTCAGAACCCCAGCATCCTGTGAGACCCACTCCTGAGTCTTTCCTTGCAAGTGAATGAACCAGGTTCATGTGGCTCACTATGGGTGAAGCTGCATTCCCAGGAGGCCTGTGGTGCCCTATGCTGGCCAGGACAGTGGTGCCCCACAGGCCACAGGGCTGCAGGACTCTTACTTGGGCCAAGTAGTTCTTGCTGTATGGGGACATTTACAAGGTCTCTCTTCTGTGCCTCAGATGCACGACATGTTTGGGGCAGAGGAAACACACCTCCTGTGTGCTGTCTCGGCTCTTCAGTTTCTATGTGGACCAAGAACTATAAACTTTAAAGAAAAAGCTTTTCCTAGGGCATCTTCAGATTATGGCATATTTTTATGTGGAGAAGAAAAGCTGTGGAGGCAGCTATCTTTAAGAGAAAATTCATTGGAAGTCCTCAAGATTTGAAAGATGGCGGCCTGCTCCTCAATCATTTTGGCATAACTTGATTGTGGCTGTAACTTTTTTGTCAAGCATGTCAGACAATAAAGTCTTTGTAAAAAGAAAAAGCCGAGTCCACCTGGCTGCTCTTTTTGCAGGTGTCCCTGTGTCATGAGGGGACATAGGAAGGAAGAACTCCAAGTTCCAGAGGGAGTTGGTGACTACATCCTCTGCTTATCTTTACCTCCCATGGGTGCAGGGACAGCAGAGGTGGTGTCAAGGTTGGGACTGTTTTACTGGATGTCTGAGCTTCTAAACAAAGCAATTTGGTGTAGGCCAAGTGCTGGCTTGTTCTAAAAGTGACATGGCCAACCATCCATAGGCAGACAAAAGGTTCACATATTGCATAAGAAAAGCACCCCAGTCCTAAGGCTGTCCTGGCTACAAAATTTCTATCATTTATACCCATCCACTTATCCAACTATTCATCTTTCCACAGTCACTCACTTGCCCACTGGGTCATACTTTCATATTTCCATCTATCTACTTACCCAGCAAACTACCCATCCACCCACCATCCACACCCATCCATCCATCCATCCATCCATCCATCCATCCATCATCCATCCTTCAGCCAGCTAGCTAACCATCTATCCATGCACAAAACTATCCATCTATCTATGTACCAACCAAGCTATCATACATCTCTACACTCATCTGACCATACACTACTGATAAAACCATTAATTTACCTGACCCCTTCAGATATACCTCCATTTACCCATCCATCCATTCCTCCATCCATCCATCCACCCATCCATCATCCAACTATCCATCCATCCACCCATCAAGTTATCCATTTGTCAATTCTTCCACCCATCCTATGTAACCCTCATCCAGCTCTTTATTGATCCAGCCACAACCTTAGCACTTACTTCCCTAAGGGCCTGGCTTGGATTGCAGAAATCCTGGTGGTTATGGTAACAGATTTAGAAGGGAAGATTAGTAAAGGTAGATGAGGACAAAGGCCACAGAGAGCCAAGGATGGTAGTCGATGTGGGCTACTAGTCACTGAAAGGGAGTGTGGAAGAAAGGGGTGTAAGGAAAAGCCACATAGTTCTGTTTGGGCCTCCTGAGCAGGGGGTGACCTAGGGCCATGAGAAGAGGTGTTCTGTGGTCCAGTTGACATGAAGTAGAAGCCTCTCTTGGGACACAGCTGGCATAATAAGCCATGGATTTGGGGCAAAAAAGGCATGAGGAGTGACCAAGGACAGACCTTGCAATAACAATCTCCACATAAACCTTTCCTCTGACTGGTCCCTTGCCCAGAGTCTCATGGGCCTGCAGCCTGTGACCCGTCCTGGGACCTTGACTTCTCAACCATTACCCTTGAAGCCCTGTTCAGTCTGAGGAAGTGCCCTCAACTTCTACCCATACCACTGGAGCCACAGTAGAGTTCCTGGACAGTCACGGCTCTCCCTCTGAGGCTATGGTGTCATCACATTAGAGCTGCTTCAGTGCACCAGAGTCTCTGGGTCCTTCCCTCCCTCCCACCTTTCTTTCTCCTCACTTCACACATGAAGCAAGCACTCTACTACTGAGCTGCACCCTTCTGCAGTCCTGTTGAGACAGTAGCAAGGAGTCAGCTTACAAGAACTCCTACCTCCACCTCCTGGGGGCTGGAGTCACAGCTAACTAACTATCAGGCTCCCGGCCCTGGGGCTCAGAACTCTGATTCTCTTGCTTGCACACATGTGCTTTAACCACCAAGCCATTTCTCTTGCTGATGATTTAAAATCTCTATATAATATTCTCTCCATCTGTGGGTCTGTCTTCCCAGTCCCATTCTCACAACAAGTGTTAAAATTTTTTATTAAACTCAATTTGTCATTTTTTTCTTTCATTCCATTGTTCTTTGGATACTGCAATCATTTGTAACAGGTGTTTCCCAAAGTCTCAATGATTGACACGTGGTCATCAACCTGTGGCTCTACTGGGAGGTGGGACCTAGCAGGAAGAAGTCAGGTTACCACAGGTACATGATTGAAGTGGGTGTTGGGAGACCAACTACTGCCTCCCTTCCTGGCTGCTACAAGGTGAGCAATCCTCTCTACCATACCATCCTGTTATGTGTATCACACAGCCAAAAGCAGCCAAGCCATACTGACCCCTCTGAGAAGGTGAGCCAAACATACAATAAGATAAACGTTGGCCGGGCGTTGGTGGCGCATGCCTTTAATCCCAGCACTTGGGAGGCAGAGGCTCTGTGAGTTCGAGGCCAGCTCTGGTCTCCAACGTCAGGGGGGAAAACCCAACTGTGAAGATATGTTCACAATACTGAGTCTTCAATAATAATAAAATAATAATAATAATAATAATAATAGTAATAATATAACTTCAGGGGGGAAAACCCAACTGTGAAGATATGTTCACAATACTGAGTCTTCCAACCCAGGAGCACCTGATTATCTCTGCACTGACTTTGATCTCTGGTTTTGTTTTTAGGGTTTCATCGCCTGCCACTGTACAGGAGGACCTGTCAGGGTTTTTAGGTTTGTGTGTTCTACTGGAAGGGGCTGTCATAAGTGGTGTTGTTTTTAAACTTCCATTCTGGTTGTGCATGCTAACTGGAGATGCTAGTGACTTCTTATTATAGAATATTATTTTAAGGTGTTTACTTTTATGCTCTGGAACATTTGTTTAATGATGCAAAGATGTGTTTGATTAAATAAAATTCACCTGCAGTCAGGAGGCTGGGTCAGCAACTAGCTGACAAGAAGTTGTAGGGAGAAGCCAGGTGGAGAAGGGTTTATAAGGAGGGGCAAGAAGGACCACCAGGACCTCTTGGGAGACCGAAGGAGGTGAGCTAGCTGAGCTGCTTGCTGTTCATCCTCTCTGGGAAGCAGGATTCTACCTCAGCCTTTGAATCTTGAGCTCTTTAGTGGGACAGAGATTTAAGTAAGTTTCCTTAGTAGTTTTGAAAGAGTTGGTGCTTGAGGGAACAGAATTTCCTCAGGCTTGGGCTCTTGCAGCCTAGCCACTGCTGGTAGTGGTGGGAGTTGCAGTTGCTGAATAAGCTAGCAGCAGCTTAAAAGGCAGCACCAATTAAAGGAAAAACAACTTCTAATGACCTGGTGGCATGCTGCCTACTTAACTCTAGAAGCGTTTTGGCTCTTAGGAATGTCCTGTGCAGACAGCCATGCTGATTCCACACAACAATCTTGTTTCCTTTCTGTTTTGACTGCTGAGAGAAGTTTGCATGTGTGTGGGTACAAGTGTGCACAGGTGTGTGTTTGCATGTGCAGGAGTGCACATTCAAGTGCACATGTGTGCGTGTATGCATGTGGGCAGACCAGAGATTAACCTTGGGTGACTTCCTCAGTTACTCTCCATCTTAGTTCTGGGACAGGGTCCTTTCCAAATCTGAAGCTCGCCCTACTTTTAAGTTTCGTTTGGGTTTTGTGTGTCTGTAGAGCTGCATCCCCTTCCCCTGCTTTGGTAGGGTCTTTTGTGAGCTGTGGTGTTTTGGCCATTCTCCTGTCAGCCCTCATTTTTGGCCATCTGGGGAGAGGTGGCTTCTAGGAAGAGGTGTTCGGGTCTTTACCTAGCCCCTACAGGCAGTGGGCCTCTTCCCTTGGCTGGTTCCACAGCTGTGTCTAGTACTATGCACCCCGGTGTGCGGTGACTCTACCTGGCCCTGTGTTCTTCCTTCGGATGTTCCGGGTCTTCAACAGGTTTGTGGAGGCACTCTCCCAAACACTTCCTGCCCGACAGCTTCCAGCCTCGTCATCTTCCATGCTTTCTCCGCATCTATCCACACACTGCCAACCTGCCACCGTGTCCACTGTTTCATTTGCCGACAAGCCCATCATGTCACTGTGGTTTTCCTCTCTGCTGGAGTTTCCTATTTAGTCATGTTTACTGTCTTCCTTTTCCATTACCATTTATAACAAGCATGTCTGCTTCTTTTACCTTCTGGTAGTTTCCAAAATCCATGTCGCATCTGATCCTCATGCTTGTCTCTGCAGAGTGTCATTTTTGGAACATCAGGTAATATTTTTGTTGAAATCAGAGCATGTGTATCAAGGGGCTTCCACCCTTTCCCATGCAAGGACAGGGAGTGAATATTCTGGGCTTTGTGGGCCACCTCCAGTCCTGCCTTTTATTGTTGCCATCCTTTTCCTCAGCTCCTAAACTGTGCCAGACAAGTGTGTCTCAGCCACAGAAGACAGGAGTTGGCTGTGTTCTGAGGAGGAAGTGGCAGAAGGAACAGCAGGTTCTGAGTTCAAGGCTGTGTGACAGTCAGTGTGCAGAAGATGAAGACTGAGGCACAGGATGGGATGAATGCCAAGTTCTAGGCACATGTGTGAGGACCCACAACCCCCTCACCCCATCCTCCACACTGTGGATTTCAGTAGGTTACTTAACAAGTGCAGGGGGCCCTTGTGGTTTCTGGGGTTGGAATGGTATGCCCCGGATCTCTCAGAGCCCACTGTCTCCTGGGCTATGTCAGTGAGGGGCTGCAGTGTAACCCTGTTGGAGGTGTCACACCAGGCATCTGGCTGACAGTGCTGGGAGCTAGAGATGTGGCTAAGTTTAGAAAGTAAGTCCCCCTGTGCCAAAAAGTCCAGCAGAGCTGATCCCTGGACCCAGGTTACCACCCAACTTGCAGCTTTGTTTTCTTCCTGAGAGAGGGATCCAGGGGCCATGCCTGGCCAGGCTGGAGACCTTCACCGGGTGTGGGTGCAGAGCAGGGCTGCACTCTTACCCTACCAGCTGGACTCTGTGCCTATTGCTACTGTGAAGAGGGGAGGGACAGAGGTGCACCCTTCGTGGGGATGCTGCTCACCCCCCTGCCCTCCCCAGAGGTCATGGGAGGACCCCAAGCAAGTGACCCTGGTTGGACCTTGGAAGGAGTGTAGGACATTGTCCTAGTTTGCCACTACTGTATAAACACCAAGACCAAAACCAATTTGGGGAGGAACAGGTTTATTTCATTTTACAGCTCTCAGGTCACACTCCCATCATTGAGGGATGCCAGGACAGGAACCAGAGGCAGGAGTTGATGCAAGGCCATAATGGAACACTGCTTACTGGCTTGCTCCACCTTTCTTCTATGATTCAGGACCTCCTGCCCAGGGATGACACTGCTCCCAGGCCTGGGCTCTCCCATATCATTAGTGATGAAAATACCCTACAGACTTGCCTACAGGCCCGGCTGATGGAGGAAACTTCCCAGTTGAGCTTCTCTCTTCTCAGAGGTTCCCTCTTCTAGTTTGTGCCAAGCTGGCAAAAAACTAATCAGGATGGACATGGCCATTGGGGCTCCAGCTGTCCTCTGATCTAAAGCAGAAGTGGGTGGGCAGAAGCAGCCTTGGCCCTTGAATAATGGTACAGGGACCGTGGATGAGCAGGTATGCCCTGCAGGCAGCCATGAACAAACCCCCAAGAATCCCAAGTTTTAAAACATTTTATTAGTAAGTAGTTCTTTTAAAGTCTCAAGAGTCATTCCTGCAAAGACTATTTTATTTGCTCAAATGAGTGAGTGAGGACGCCCGAGGCCAGCGGCCGCCCTGTTGTCCCCCAGAGAGGCCCTGATGATGGTTGGAGCGAGAGCCTGTATATCTCCAGAGCCTGACTCTGGGTACGGTTAGGCTCTAAAGTCGCTTTGCGGAATTGACAACAGTCCTCCATTGTCTGGTTTTGATAGTCTTGGGGATAGACCCTGAGGCCCCATCTGTCCCCAGTGCATCCCCGCCTGGGTGCCTACTGCAGGAAGGCGCGCAGGAAGTCATTGTAGGAAATCTTGGATGACAATGACTTGTCATAGTACTCCAGAACATGGAAGAACTCCTCCTCTGACAGGTTGATGCTGTACTGCCGCAGCACCTGGGGACCAGGAGGAAGATTAGCAGTGGTGGTGGCTGCTGGTAGACTCTCTCATCCTTCCTCCTGCAGGCTCGGGGCATGGAAGAGCCCTTGCTGAGGATGCTAGGTGCCCACCGCTATCACTTCTTTCCTCCTCAGTGGCAGGACCCAGGACACCTTCTCAGAAGGGATGGGGTATACCTTTTTCTTAATATCTGGGATGAGGTAGGCACTCCAGAAGCCACCTTGGACCAGGAGGTGGGGAAGGAACCTGGGTGTTGAGGCTATGTGGGAGGCCTAGATTACATACACACTGTTGGGCTGTTCCAGCAGTCCCAAGACCCTGACAGGACACAGGAGTAGATCCCAGGACTGGACAGGGACCTAGCAGTAACAGTAGTATTTGGTCTCTCAAAGGAAACAAAGGTACTGTGTGCACATGCATTCACATGTGTGTGTATACACACACACACACACACACACACACACTCACACACCACACGGGACTTGGAACTTTCTAGAAACCTTTAGGGAGAAGCTGTAGTCTGCAAGTAAGGGGGAGGTAAGCCAGAGCCTAGGCCTCCGTGGGCAGGTACAGGGAGAAGCTGTAGTCTGCAAGTAAGGGGCAAGTAAGCCAGAGCCTAGGCCTCCGTGGGCAGGTACAGGGTCTCCTTTGAACTTTCCATGCTCCTGGCCATTTTTATGCATGGTACCTGCTCTGGGTCTATAGCCACAGAGAACAGAGTCTCACCTTCCTGAAGTCAGCCACACTCAGAAGCCCTGTCCCGTTCTCATCATAGGCCTTGAAGGTACGTCGCATGGGCCTCCAGCAGTGAACAATCTTGGGCTGAATCCTCAGCAAGGCTGAGTAAAAGGACTGCGTCTCTGCACCAGCTTCTTTCTAAAACAAAGATCAGGGCAGCAGCACTTGGGAACTGCAGTGGACCTGGTGAAGGCACTGCACACTGCCGTCTCAGCTGGTGGCCTGGCCCTGCAATGAGGGCTGTTCAGATCTCTGCCCTCAGGGGTGCAGAAGGTTGTGGGAACACCTCAGAGGTCTCACAACTTAGAGGAGAGGTGGGGGCTGCTTCTACCTCCAGTTCTCAGATGGAACCTTGAGGCTGAGGGAGGGAGCATGATCCTAGCTCTGAGCCAGTCACAGCAGGTCCCATTTGCAAGGTCAGGGCCATGCAGTCTCTGGGCCAATTTCAAAGTCATACTGAGATAAGACAAAGATGAGGCCTTCTAGCAGGTTCTTGTAAATAAAGGGTATTTGGAAAGTGACAGGTGTGACCACATGTGGTAATGGGAAGTGTCACAGCACTGTGCTTTTTCCTTTAGGTGCTACGGGATGAAAACAGGATGTCTGTCTGATTGTTTTAGCCCCAATGCATGTCTGCACATCATGGAGGGGGAACTACAGGCAAGAGCATGAAGCAAGTCCCAGGAAAGCTTAGCCGCAACATGGCACTACCTAAAACAAATGAGCAAGGTGACATTGCTTTCAGTTTGTATGCCACTTAGCACTTAACACCTCCAGTCTAATGGGTGTGTTCTGGAATAGCTGGAAAGATCCCAGTCTCCTTGTGTTGCTCAGAGCTCCCATCATGGCCCTCCAGACTCTGTAAGGTTGGGGAAAGTCTGGAGACACCCTCTATTCTAGACAAAAGAGGCATCAATGTACTTGTCCCCACAGAGAACTGTCATCTGCTTCTCATAGACCATTCTAGTTCATTTCTAGAAGGGGAAAGAGGCCAGAGGAGCAGGAGGAGACTAGGAGAGGCTTTTCAGGATACAAGAGCCTCATGGTTCTCCCACTAGGTTCCTGGGCCTCAAAAGACGCCAAGGAGGACCAGAACGGCATCTCTTATCCACAGGGCTGGGCTATCTTGTGGCTTTGCCTGACTGGCTCCTACAGGTAAGTGGCATTGGATACTGGATCTCACCTAGAACTTTCTGTGTGTGGCTTCCTGCATGGGTTTTAGTATGGACCATTGGTTCCAGTCCCTCTGATGGCTGCCCAGGTGGGTGTGTGGGTGCGTTGAGGCCATCAGCCCCCACTGAGCTATAAGAAGGTTGGAACTGGATTTGCTTGCTCTCGGGCCTTGTGAGAGACTCAAGCATGCTCCCCACTCTACTGCTCAGCCTCATTCCCTTATCTAAATCAGTATTACAGACAATGGACCAGGACCATAGAACATACTTTGTATGTTCTGTGTTCTGGAGAAACGTGAGCAAGGCTAGGGAAAGCACTAGTTGTAGGGTTTTTTGTTTTGTTTTTGTTTTTTTTGTTTTGTTTTTTTGTTTTGTTTTGTTTTTTGAGACAGGGTTTCTCTGTGGCTTTGGAGGCTGTCCTGGAACTAGCTCTTGTAGACCAGGCTGGGCTCGAACTCACAGAGATCCACCTGCCTCTGCCTCCCGAGTGCTGGGATTAAAGGCGTGTGCCACCAACGCCCAGCTCCTTTTTTTTTTTTAAAGATTTTATTTATTTATTATGTATACAACATTCTGCTTCCATGTCTATCTGCACACCAGAAGAGGGCACCAGATCTCATAACGGATGGTTGTGAGCCACCATGTGGTTGCTGGGAATTGAACTCAGGACCTCTGGAAGAGCAGTCAGTGCTCTTAACCTCTGAGCCATCTCTCCAGCCCACTAGTTGCAGTTTTGAGGACTAATTCACAACTGAGACTGAAAGGGGAGAGCCAGGGCTGCTCCCCTGGTTGGGTCTTAGTCTTTGCCATCTTTTGCTATCACAGCTAAGTGTTGGTGGTAAAGCAGGAAGACTGCAAGGAGTATCAGGCCAGCTTGGGTTACATGGTGAGACCCTGTCTCCAAAAGTTTTGCTCCACCAACAAAGAGAAAAGGCAAGCAGTAATAAAGGAATGAGGGTCACAGAGCATCGATGAGCAGGGGTGGTGGGGTGGGCGTGGGGTGGTGTGTTAGAGCTGTTTAAGCCCCGCCCACACTCAGCCCAGGCTCCCCCACTAGGTGCACATTCACAGCCAAGTTCTGAAGGTTTAATTTGGCTGTGAGCCCTGGGACCCCCCCCCACATGCCCATTTTGCTGTTTCTTTAACTCCCAGGGTACACTGAGAGGAGGAAGTACTGCCCTATTCCAATAATGACCACTGTGAGCAGATGGCTCCCACCAAAAGATTTTCAGGCTCCAGCCTGGAAGCTGTACCTCTAGACTCTGCCCTCAGTTCCAGAAGCAGAGAGAAGATTTCTTTCCATTATTTTTGAAAGAAACTAAGCTTCTAGGACATTTTTAATGTCACAGTTAGATCTATATTTACCCCCAAGTCTTATATTTACCCCCTTTACCCTACCTGCAGGAACACGCCTTGACACACAGACCCCACCATCTTAGCTGACCTGGTGCTCACCTTCCACTGTCCTGGCCTTCAGTAGTTGGGGAATGAAGGTGCAGGCCTCACAGCACAGATCCTGGGTAGCCAGAGATCCAAAGGACATTTGTGGGGAGGGAGCAGTAACACTGGGGACTTCTGTCAGGTGAGTCCTGGCTGGTGGCTCTCTGATCTTGGGGATCCTATGTGACCAGGTCCACCTGTACTGACAAGTTAGGGGTGCCTGGTTCAGGACCCCAAGGTCTCCAGGACCACACACCTACCATTTTGTCTGCATTCTGGATCCTCATCCTCCGCATCAGTGAGGTCTCCTTGGCCTTCAGCAAGAGAACGCAGCTCTGAATGAAGTCACAGTAGGCGAACTTGCCGTTGTCCTTCAGGTCATACTTGACAATGAGCTGCTGGCTTTCCTCCTTGCTGATGTCCAGCTTGAACTTCTCCACGATAGCTGAGGACCAAGCAGCCCACAGTGCAGTTGGTGGGGATTCATGAATTCTTGCCTTCATTTAGCTACTGATGGGTGGGCTCCACCCATGAGCACCCTCACAGGTTCCTCCCACACCCCACACCCCCAGGGCTGGCAGGCCTGACTCATGTCTCCACAGGGCTGGAGTCAAACAGACCCAGGAATTCTGCTGCAGTAATGCTCCCTTGCTTGTCACTGTCCTTCTCCTTGCATTCCTTCAGGAGCTCGCGCCAGCAGCCCTGGATCTGCTTGCGGAGCTTGCTCTCAATGGGCTCACAGTTCTGCAGGGGTGGGGTGCCCACTGGTGTCTGCAGGGAGGGAGAGAAAGGATATCTCAACTGGAGGTCTCTTGGGGGCAGTTGTGGGAACCACAGAGTGATCTGGGGTCTGAAGGTCAGCTCTGTAGGCACCACAAAAGGACAAGACCTTATTTCTGCCAGGGAGCCATCTGAAGCCAACCCATAATAAGCAGAATAGCTTTGGAAATGAATACACAGCCATGTTTTAGAGGACAGCCCTTCTTGCCTTCCTAATTCCCTGCATTCCTTGGCTTGGGGTCCCTTCCACCCTCAAGGACAGCCACATCAGATGGAGCCTTTCTCAGGCCTAGCTCCTTAAGACTACACATATTTTCCCAGACTCGCCGTCTAAAACCCCTGAGTACTGCTGGTCATCTCTCTGTCCAGATCTCAACAGACCAGCAACCAAATCCCTCTCCCAATGTGGGGTAACTAGGAGGTGGTTAGCCTTAAGGTGTTTCTGACCCCTGCTCTACTTCACTAAAGACCACATTCACTGTCACCCTGAGATCTTGACACCATAATCCCCTTGAGAGGGACCTTTATCCATTTTGAGCTGTAACACCCAACCAGTGCATAGTAGGTATACAGAAGTCAGTGCTGAGTGTTATGAGTGCATGATAGGCACTGTGTCTAGGGCCATCCTATTTTGGGCACATGGTCTAAGCACACAGCAGTGGCCTTGTGGGCAGGTATGGTATGGCCTCAGTTGTTGGTCCCTGGAGACACTGTCATTCTGTTCAAGGGCAAGGGAGACACCCCCAGGAGCCTCCTCCTGGAAAATCTGGGATGACTCAGCCAAGGGCTAACGGCTGGTATCACATTAAGGACTGAGGCCCAGGAAAACACTCTAGGCCTTGCCTAGCTCTGGTGTAAATTGGGAACACATTCATCCGTGCAGGTGGTGCCCAAGGTCAGGAGACTGTCATTATCAGAGCCACGCTTCCTGCCCATGGGTCCTGTGGCCTACTCCTGCCTCTTCCTCCCCTTCTGGCCCTCTCTAGGGTCCCCTTTTCACCCTGCCCTTCCCCCAACACACACCAGAAACCGACACTAGAGTCTCCCCCAGACTCATGAGCCCAGTCTCACAGTGACCTGCCTAGAGGTGACATGGGGCATGCTGGGAACTCACACAGGGATGACTCCGGGATTTCAGCCCCGCCTTGGAGTCCCGAGGAGGAGAGCAGAGGGTTGATCTGGTTGCTTGGGAGACATCGGGGGCACTGCTTCCCCTCTGGGCCATGGTGGAGTCTCCAGAGTCGCCAGCAGCCATGGGTGGTGAGGGTTCCCTATCAGTGCTGAATCTGCTGAGGAAGTCCTGGTACTTGAGCCTCCCCTTGGCATTGACCGGCATCTCGCCCCACAGCCTGTCAAACTAATAGCAGCAAGTCAGTCCCAGGGGAATGTGAACCTAGCTGGAGTCTCTCCGGGGTCCTGGAGGAGTGGGACCAGAGGTAACAGGAGGTGACTGTGAACCATGGTTCACGTTAATTTAAAAAAAAATTAAGAAAGGAAAAAAATCCATCTGGTCTCTGCAGGATGGAAGCCTCTGGAAGACTGGGGGCGGGTGGGGGGGAGAAGGCAAGACAAGAGGATTATTCATGGCTTCCGCAGGACATTTTTTAATTGAATTGGGTCCTCGGTGAGCAGTTTAAGGCTATTAAATCTTGTGATTAGTCACAGTGACCGAGCTGTGGTGCATAAAAACATTTTAGGAGAAAATGCAAATCAAACCAGGGCCCCACCTCCATCCCAGGGAAGCCACCGGCCTCATTTCTCAGGTGTCCCTGAACACCTGAGTGGGAGCGGCTCACAGGTGCTACTGCCCCAGCCACTGCTGTCACATCCACAATTTATTTCACCCCAAAGGTAAGAAATGTCCCTCTTGCAAGATGAAAAGGAAGCATTTAGAATCCAGGGAGAAGTTTATGGCTTTGTATGGTGGCTGTCTGATGCCACAGACCGTATGGAAACTATGCACAGCATGGAACCAAGTGGCAGGCAGCTTCCCACATGAGCTGATTTTGATGGCTACAGGGCTTTCAGGGAGCCAAGAAGAAGGGCTCTTGTCCCCCGAACCTGATTGCTTGAAAAACCCACTTCTGTTAGCCTTCCAAGGGACAGAGGCCAGGAGGCTGGACTGGGGAACAGCTGCCTGTTCCCCTTGCAATCTAGAGGTCACCAGAAACTTAGTTTTGCTCCTGGGTGTTTCCTGGGGCTTATCCACAGCAAATGACTTAAAGTGACAGACTCTTCGGCTCTGTTTAAAGTCCCCAAAGGCTTGCTAGCTGCCATACCAGCCTACTCCTAGGGTTAGACATGTGAGTGCCTCTCTAGAATTCGAGTTAGGGCATCTTAGGCTTGTACCACCCTGACCTGTGAATCCTCAGGAAGCAGCTGCCATGTATGGGGTTTACAAACAGGTGTGCATACCAAGCATATTCCCATAGGTTAGTGCCTCCAGCTGAGAGGATTGGAAATCATTGAGAATTAAAAACAACCTGTGATGGGTAACACAACTCCACATAGCTGATGAGCTTGGAGGTGGGCTAGCCCAGGGCTTCTCTAGTTCTAATAAGCAGAATCCTCCCAGGGGTCTGCTAAGCCCTGCCCAGAGTTCTGATTCAACTTCAGAACCTACATCTCCCTGCAAAGCTGATTTTATAACTAAATATAACAACAGCACAACTCCCAATAAACTCAGCCTACTGATGGCATTCAAAGAAATAAAATCGCCACACACATGAAGGAGCAAGCCAAGCCTAACTCTGCCTTCAGATATCAGAACTGTCAGTGACCATACCTCATCATGTTAAAATCAAGCAATAGCACTAGCCGTGAGAAAGACACAATTGACACACATTTGAAATAAGGTGAAAATAAAATTCCTTGAAATGAAAAACACAATCCTCAAAAAAATTTTATTAATAGATCACAAAGGCTGTACTTAGAAGAAAAAAATGAGCATAAGAAAGGCCTCCTATGGAATAGATAAAGAAAGCAATGCTGAACAAACACCAGTGGGGTCAGTGAACCATAAGGGTTTAATTTGTAGAGAAAATTGCAAGACAAAGATAAAATACTAATACCAATACCATGAAATCCAAGGAGACCACTGAATCACAGCAACTCAATATCCTCACAAACCAGAGGTTAAGGGGACCTGGTTTAAAATTGTTAAGATGTCAGGGTAACAGCCATTTATTGACCAGGAAAATACGTAGTTTTTGACAAATAAGTTAGAAAGGGGTTTTAAAGAGCTTGATCCAAATTATGTCAAGAAAATACATTTTCAAACAACATAAAGGAAATGAGCATGGCAGGAAGCTTAATATTGATGACAGAAATAAATGGAGACAACAGGAACAACAATAAATGTAAATGAGCCAAACACCCATGTAAAATGGCAGGGATCACTAGAGAGGATGTTTAAGAAACCATTTATGTGCTATTCATAAAGTCTACACACAAAAACAGAAGTATCAGGGGTGTCAGAGATTTGAAGAAGTTTAAATAGATATAGCAAGTAGACACTAAATGAAAGAGGTTCAGGGGTCATGCTACTATAACATTAAATAGACTTTAAGATTAAAAGCTATTTTCTTAGAACTTGATACATCTAATACTGAGTTGCAAGTATCCACATTTCTCAGCCATTGATGGGCCAAGCTAAAAGAGAATAGAGATTCTGAGGCTAGAAGTAACAGCTGGTTTCAATCAGCAGGTGTAGAACACTTCATAATACTCCATTCAAAACACACCATCTAGCTACAAATGAAACATTTTATAAAGAATGACCACACATCCAATCCCAGATAATTCTAATAACTGATAAGATTCAGTCCCATTCGCTAATTAAAATCATGTTCATTTATAAGTTAATAACTCTTTAAAAACACATTCATTCAGGAACAAAAAAACACCCGTATTTCTAAATCAAAGAACCCAAGATGGGAATAAGAGACTAGGAGCTCCATTATAATTTTACAACTATGTATCAAAATTTGGATGCAGCTAAAGTAGTAATTAGACAGAAATGTACAGTTTTAAGTGCCTATTATGGAAGGAAAAGCAGCTGAAATTCAAAGCCGGCATCCAACCTATGCCAAAGCAGAGGGAACAAGAGAGGCTGTCAATACAGCAGGAAGCCTGGAGAGCTGAAAGCTGATCTGCAGAAAGACAGAGAGTACACAGGGCTGTGGTATGAAGCTAGGTGGAAGCCAAGTGCTGGGTGGTCCAGCTGTGCGGCACATACAGCAGAAGCTAACTGAAAAGAGGACATAGATTCTATGGTGAATCAGTGTATGCCAATCAGAAAAATGAGAAAAAGTGAACAGATTCATGTAAAAACATGAGCCACCAAAATGGATGAGCCTGGGTGGTCCTGTAACTATCAGAAAAAAACATACTGGCAGTTTAAAAAAAAAAAAAACAAACTCCTTTTAGAAAACACTGGCCCCCAGAAAGCTTTACCGACATTTTTTAATTTCAAGAAGCTGGCAGCCCAGTTCTGCCCAGACCCCTCTGACAAAACAAGGAAGCACATAGTCCTAGACTCTACTTACACAGCTGGTGTACTCTTGCTTCAAACAAGACATAAACGTGAGAAAGTACAGATTCACATCACAAACATCAACACAATTGTTTTTAAGTTTAAAGGGGGATGGGAGGGCAAGAGAGTGTGTACATGTTTGTATTTGCCAAGGTCAGAAGAGGGCATTGGATTTTCCGGAATTAGCATTATAGGCAGTTATGAGCCACCATGTAGGTCAGAACCCAAGTCCTCTGCAAGAGCAGCCAGTGCTCCAAACCACTGAGCCATCATCTCTCCAGCCGTGGAAACACTTTCAACACACCCTGACCAAACTGTGCTTCCAACAGGAGCGTACATTTGCTTTAGTATCATACCACCTATCAGCACAACTCAGAAACTGAGTAACAAAAACTTGATGCCTATCTTGATACAGTATACATGTAGGGGAAGCATTTCATACAAGCAGTACCTAGCCATGGTTGCCGGGTTCTAGAAAAAAAGGCATACAAAGAACTTAACAATTGATCAGGAGCTCCTGAAATTTGATATATCAAAGTATCTCTACCGAAAATAGATTTAACCTCAGAACACAGAAGCATTCCTGTCCAATCAAGGCTAGAACAGGGAAGCCATTATCACGGCTCTGTTTAGAGGGACTGTGGGATCTAGGCATTGCTATAAAGCAAGAAAAAGGCATAACGGGTATATGGGCTGAAACAACACCTGCTTGCTGTTCAGAGCTGGCCTGAGTTATCAGCTCAGGGAATGGGCTGACAAGTTATTACAATGACTTAACTGAAAAACTTAACTGAAGGTATGAAGTTACAAATGTTTCCTTACAATGAAACAAAACAGATGTTAAAGACACAAAAGATCCCACACAGTAACAATAGAGCAGAATGAAAGATAGCAGACACCTACAGGAAGAGAGGAGTCTGGGTCAGGAAACTCAATCGCTGCAATCCAATAAGTGTCCCAGGTTCCCCTCCCTTCACCCCCTGGAGGCAGGAACTCATGAAGCCACACTGTCAGGGAGTTCATGATGCCTCTGCCTCAGAACGGGTTTTACAGTGTGCACTACCACTCAACTTCCAGGGGAGCCCAGAAAGCTGAGAATGTTGTAGACACTCCTGGACTGACAAGAGCCACGGAGACCCAGGTACTGGTTATTTACAATTTGCTGGAGCAGGGTGGACTTAGAGCAGACCTCCGGGAGGGGATGGCTGATAGACAGTGCTGGGCCTGAGATGAGGGAGGCCCACAGAGTCCCCAGGTCTATGGAGCCCCACTTTACATAGTGGACAAACAGGTGCTGTCTGCATGGCAAGAATAAAAAGTCAAAATGCCAAAAATTTCAGAGAGGACCAGCTGATGTTCCTTGGGCAAAGTGAGGATGGCTCAACCACAGTCCAGAGTGGAGCTAAGAGTGAGCTGTGCATGCAGAGTCCACCCAACTGCAGTGATGTGCTGTAGAAAAGAACGCATGCACTCACTCACACACGCACGCAGTGCGCTCACATATATGTGCATATACATACTCACATACATATGTGACACACACTTGCACACATATATGCACACGAGGCATATCCAGCACCTCCCCAGCATCACAATGTGGTTGCTTGGTTTTTTTTTTTTCTGCTCTCTCTTATCTCCCAAACTTCTCCACCTGTTGCCCCCAAGCTCCGCCTGCCCCCGGCACCGTCAGCCTGTATCTTGGGTTCTTTGCCGTGGACTGTCCACTCTTACATTGCCTGTCCTCCAGCCTCTGCCTTGGGCACCTACCTCTACAGCTTCATGTGGACAGCTCACATTGAACCTCTTTGCTCAATCCTGCACAACACCTAGCTTTATTGCCACTCATAGTGAACACAGCCATTTTTACAGTGAGCACCACACCGGCACATCCTCTGGGATTCAGCTCTGACACCCTCAGCGCCTCTTGTCCGCTCTCTCAATGGTCCACCCCTGGTCCATGCTCTTCATCTATCTCCACACAGCAGCCAGAGGATCTCTGTTTAAAACCACTCATCAGGACAACTGGCATAGGGTAGGTGCAGTCCTCTTACACCCAAGTGAAGACAAAATGCTCCCTATTTGGCTCCTGTCCTATAGGACAGACTTCCAGCTTGGGCTCACCCACCTTAAAGCATCTGCCAAGGGTCCAACCCCATCACAGTCCTTTTCATCCATGTACCTTCTGCTTCCAGCTAACCCTACCTAGTAGCCAGGTCTTCCCTTTGAGGCTACTTCCTCAGAGAGCCTCCTCAACCCTACTAGTTACAAGCCTGTCTCCCATTCACTATCTGTACCCTTTTCCTGCCCTGAAAGAAATATACAGCATCATCACTGGCTAAGACACTGTCTATTCTACTTAGTTATGTTTGCTATCTAAAAGTTCTCCGAGAATGCAGACCATTTGGAGGCAGGCTGGGGCTGTTTGGCTCCTGGCAGCAGCAGTAAAACCTGCCCTTCCTGTTTCTGGTTCTCACTACACCTGTCTGCACTGCTCTCTGCCTCTGTAGTCCTGCATCCTGTTGTCAGGGAGACCACGGTCCCCTGCAGTTGCCTGGTCATGGCCTCTCAGCTCCTTCCCAAAAGGCGGTAGAGCCTGTATGTAAATGTGAGTGGGACCATTTGATGGCCTGGGGTCCTGGGCTGAAGAAAAAGTAGGAAGTGACCAGCAGTCACCTCACTCTGCTTCCTGGCTGTGCACACAACATAGCCAGCTGTTTCAAGCCTCTGTTGTCATGCATTCCCCATCATCACAGCCTGCACCTCCAAACTGTGAGCCAAAATAAACCCTCCCTTCCTCACAGTGCTTCTATCAGGTATCCCGCCACAGCAATAGGAGGAAATCCGTCTGTGGACAGCAGCCCAGGACTGCCACTCATGCATGAGTGGACTCTGCTGCCTCTGGGCATTTGCTGCACATCAAGATGGGTGGCTATGCTCCTAGGAACCAGCTCAGAGGCCAAGGCTAGGATCAGAAGACCAGGGGCATGGGAGCTGGGAAGATGGAGGGGGCTGGAAGGGCCAAGTGGAACCTGGCTAGCTCTGCCAAGTGGAGCTGGGAATCTGGAATCTGCTTAGTATCTGGAAGGAGGCACAGGCAGTGAGAGATGCAGGGACCAGGTCCTGGCAGAGAAGGTAGCTGGATAGAAGGAAGGGTGCTAAGCAGGTCTATGGTTTGGGGGGGGGGAGGCAGGGTGTGGCACCAGGGAAAACACATAGATGCTAACCAACTTTTCTGAGTTATACAGCTGGACAGGTACACAGCCAGACAGGTGCACAGCTGGACAGGTACACAGCTGGAAAGGCACAGAAGCCTGAGTTGTTTTATTACCTGCAAGCATCCTTCTCACTTGCTAGGGGTGTCTGCTTTGGGGGTAAAATCACATATAAATGTTCAGAGATACCCATTCCTGATAAAGCTGCTCTCTTTCTCTGCAAGGTTGATTACAGCCACAGGATTCCAAGCCGCATCCCTTCCCCCACTCACAGAGATCTGAAAGTCAGGAGAGCTGGGCTCTTTTGAGTGTGAAACAATGCAGATGAGCCAGGTCATGGAGACAAGATGGCAGGTAAATGGTACTTAGTACCCTGGCTCCATCCCCAACACTCCTGGCACAGCACGCTGCCCCAGGGTGCAGCAGAGAGAGGGAAAGCCCTGTCAATCACACTAGTGCCAGATGATCACAGATTCAGGAGACTGGGAGTTGGGACTGATTTTAACAGCAAAGGGACAGAAAGCTCACCCTGACTGAAAGGGTGTGGATCGCAGTTGTTAAGAGTAACAGCTGCTTCAATAGGGCCTCAGCGTGGCATGGTAACTCAGGCAGGCACTCCCAGAACTGGGGAGGCCAAAGCAGGAAGTTCAACCCAAGTTTAAGGTCAGTCTTTTCCTAATAACTTACTCTATTCTGAGAGCTTATTGAAGAGGAAACAGGGGAAGGTAGTGAAGGAAAGGGGATGGGACAGGGGGAGGGGAGAGGAGCAGGGAAAAGGAGGAAGTGAAAGGAGGGGAGGGGGAAGGAAAAGAGGAAAAAGAGGGGGAGGAGAAGGAAAAGAAAGGATGAGTGGGTGGGGGTGGAGTGCAGCGGAGAACTCTCTGCTCCAACTGCTTGGGGTGAGCAGCCATAGTCCTACCTGCTCATCGGTCAGGATCTGCACATGGCGGGTGCACACGGATCTGAACTCATCTCTGGAGACTGTGTTGCTTTTCGTGGTGTCGAAGTTCTCAAACTCCTGGGCAATGACGTGATAGTGGGAAGCCACTGCCTTGTGCACTCGTGTCAAGATGTCTCTGTTGGCCATTTCTTTGGGAGCTGTGGGGGCCAGGACCTTGGGCATCTTCTCTGCCCACTCATCAGCAGTCTGCACACAACAGAATGCAAATTGATCCACTGAGTGAATGGTAGATACCTCTTGTCTCTGGGTGCAGGGAGGCATAGCTTAATAGGCTAGAGAAGAACAGATGTGCTGTGATTTCTAATGACAGGTCAGCCCAGCTGTGTGGAAGCCTGGGCTCACTTGCCATGAAAGTGGTCCCCAGAGTGGCACTCTGCCCTTGGAAGGTGAGTTGTGGAACACTGAGAAGCCCCAGGGAGGGTGCACCATATACTCTCTCCCGTTTCCTCCTGATGGCTGTCTTTGGGTTCATTTAACACATACGAGGGCTGGGGAGATGGTTCAGTTGGTAAAGTGCCAACCACATTAGGTTAGCAGAAGGACTTCTGCATCCCCAGAAGCCTGGAGCCCAGCAGGGGGATGCATAACCTGGGCCCATATCAGGGACTTCCTGGACCGAGGCAGGAGGAGCTTTTTAACTATGAGCAGGCAAAGGGCTTGCAGATGGGGGCCTGAGGATGGTTAAACCACACCCCTTCAGGGTCTGGCACTTCACTAGGGGGATAGATGGACTGGAGTGGCAAGCAAAGGGGCCAGGTAAACAGGCAGGGACTCTCCGTTTATTTTGGAGCTAGCTAGTTCAGGCCTCTGGGGAGACTGGGCACCACCATGTAACCAGACTTGGGAGACCCAAAGGGTCAAGGTGTGTAAAATAAGAGTCTTCAACCTCCTGCAATGTAGGAGACAGCTTTGGCAAGTACTTCCTTGCTGAGTGAGCCAAACCTGGGGAGAGGGAAGGTGGCACTCTAATGGCACAGGAGACCTGGCTGGTGATAACCCAGGGGTGAGAAAATTCAAGAGTGCAGGAATACTGGCCCTAGCCTGGCCTTGGCATATCTGGGTGATGAGTCTCATCGTGGTCCTTGCTTTGACACTAGCTCTTGCTGTGGATACTAGGGCTGTGCTAGACAATCAGCAGATCCTTGAACTTTGCCACACCTTAGGTGCTCCAACAGTGATGTCTGCACTGTCACTGTCTGGAGACATGTTTTATGAAACTGTAGCACAGCCCAGCAGCAACTGGGAGTGTCCTTGGAAACACAGACACACAATTCCACTTAGACTCCAGCCCCGATCACCCATGGGTACCAGAGTTTCTCCCACACCCACCTGAAGTCATTTGTAAGGTAAAGGAGCATAGTTATCTCTCACTTGAGAAAAATCTAAGTGAAATCACTGGTGTGTCTCATGCCTTTCAGAGTTCACATGGTTGGAAGTGAGTCCCGGAGCTCAGTATCCACTAGCATCCCTGCCTTTCCAACCTGTGTCAGCACCCAGAGACCAGAGGGTGCCTCCCTAGTGTGGAGTCCTGCCTCTAAGTCCAAAAGCACATTTGAAACACTGAGACAGCTCAGCGTGGGAGAAAGGCAGGCCCAGGACTAGTTTCAAATTGATTCCACCTCTACCTGGCTGGGAGGATCTACAATAAGTAGCTTGCCAACTTTTTGCCTGTTTCCTCCTCAGGAGGAATAAAACTGAGCTGAGGTAATGACTGTGAGGTGACTGAGATGACCATGAGGGGATAAGTCGTGAGGTTGGCTCTTTCCTACCTTTACACAGTTCCAGTGATTGGACTCAGGTCTCCAGGATGGAGCAGCATTTGTACCATCTTTACCACTGCCTGCCCTATATAGTTGGGCTCTATCTATCTATCTATCTATCTATCTATCTATCTATCTATCTATCTATCTATCTATCTATCTATCTATCTATCTATCTATCTATCTATCTATCTATCTATGTTTTCACCCTGGTGTTTACAGAGCATGAGAGACACCTCACCTACTTTACATATTTTTTTTAGAAGATCTACCTTTTGAGCTAAGACAAGAAGATGAAGATTAAAATGCTAAAGACATCATACTTGCTAGATAAGACAAATTGGCTAGAAAGTCTCCAAACAATTTAAGAAAGCGGTCCAATCTGAGCTAAAACCACAAAAAGCAATGGCTGCTTTTGAAAAGCACTAGTTATCAGTTGAAGTGAGGAGAATTCTTCATCACATTAATGACAGCCTGAACACATGGGTGAGATTCCGAGAGCGACGGAGCCTCCCAGGAGAGACCTGCATCTACTGAGACAGGGATGGGGGGGGCATGTTCCTGAGTGAGAGAGTCAGATTCAAGCCACAAAGCCCCTTTCAAGCTCTAAGAAAACCTCTCTGGGGCCTGGGGAGATTGCTCAGTGGGTAGAGCACTGCATAGGCACCAGGACCTGAACTAGATCCCTAGGTCCCACCCTAAAGAGGGAGCAGGGTGGTGTGCTCCTGCAATCCGAGCCTGAGGAAGTAAGACAGGAGCATCCCCAGGGTTCATGGGCCAGCCAGCTTAGACTAGTAGTCTCAGGCCATGGAAGGTTGTATCTCCAAACAAGGTGGATGGCTCCTGAGGAATTCAGCTGAGGTTGTGTACACAGTCTCTCCTCTCTCTCTCTCTCTCTCTCTCTCTCTCTCTCTCTCTCTCCCTTCCATCCCTTCCTCCTCCTCTCCCCACATACCTTCACTGGATATATGGGGAAGGGTGGATGGGAATCAACAGACAGTTTGCCAATTACATTCATGATTAAAAATATGCAGTCATACAATTTTAGGAAAGGCTAGCAACAGGAGGGTCTGACCCACAAGATATTGAATCTGGCCGTTGTGATGTTTTACTCTTTTGTCTTTTTGGGGGGCCCACCACCCAGCTCCCAAATAACTCACACATGGAGTCTTATTCTTTCTTAGAAATGCTGTAGCTTGGCTTGTTTCTTGCCAGTTTTTCTTAAATTATCCTGACTACCTTTTCCCTCTGGGCTTTTATCTTTCTTACTTCTGCATATCTTACTTTCCTTCTTACTCCATGGCTGGCTGGGTGGCTGGGCGGCTGGGTGGCTGCCACCCCCCACCTCTTGTTATCTTGCTGCTCTCCTCTCTTGTTTCTTCTATTTAGACTCTGCCTGCCAGGCCTGCCTATCCTTGCTCCTGCCTCAGTATTGGCCTTTCAGCTCTTTATCAGACCATCAGGTGTTTTAGATAAGCAGAGAATCACAGCTTCACAGAGTTAAACAAATGCAGCATAAACAAAAGTCACACACCTTAAAATAATATTCCTCAACAGCTTTCTGTAACTATGATCTAGTGAGAGTCATGGAGCTTGGCTGAGACTCCGGCTGTGTTGCTGCGCTAAGGCTCTGCCCACCTGGGATGGGACATCAGCCCTTCCCCTCCCCCAAAGCCTTTTTATCGAGAGCTCTGTTTGTCACAATGTCACAGCACTAGACAGTGGCTGCCTTCCATAGATGGCCCCTGTGAGGGGCAGAGCCCAAGCAAGACATGGCTCACCGGTTTCATCAGAGAGACTCCTGTCCTGGAGCACCAACAGCGGAGTGTGATCCTACCTGGTTTCTGCCTCAGCAAATGGAAGCCCCCTGCCCAGCCCCAAAGCCTTCAGCCAGCTGTGTTGACTGTTTTCTGACCCCACACTAAAACCACTCACAAACCCCAACAGCTCAGCCCCATTCTCACCTCACTGTGAAAGTCTCTTGTGCCTATGATTGGGCATGCTCCCTAGAGGAGGTGCCTTTTTAGATGTGACTTTTCCCAAGGCCAGACCCTCTTGGGCTCTCCACAGAACCCCCAGGCCAAGGGGCTAGCCAGACTCACAATGGGCTTCTGCTTGCTGTGACTTCCTGCTGAAGCTAAGGGCTCCTGCTACTTGCAGGACACCACAGGTGCCGCACTACCCAGGGAGCCTGTGTACTTTTCTCTCTTTGAGACCCCATTCCTCCTCTAGTCTGTCCCCTTCCCTGATGGTTTCTTGTCACATTTCTCTCTGACCTCTACCCTCACGTTTGCTTTCTCACTCTGAAAGATGAACTTCACAGAGAGCAAGGGTGCCAGTCCTCTGTTTCCTGGGGAGTGAATCCCCAGGGGTCAAGGGAGATGTTGATGCAAAGTGGAATCCAGAAACAAACAGCAGACACACCATGATGCCATAATGAGGGAGGGGTCAGGACTCTGCCTGCTCTGAGTGGTGGTCATGAATCAACTGGACGCAGAGAAATGGAAAAGACAGCAAGGCTCTGCTTTAGCTAACCATGAACTCTGATCATCTCCATGTGGAGAGAAGGAGAAGCTTTATGGAACCAGACAGTGTCTTGTGGTCAACTCAGCCCTGGCTCTTTTGGCAGTCTCCTTAGAAAATAAATGAGAGAGAGTTAGCAAGCTTTATAAAACAAAGCATTGGCAATAACAACCTTAGGCACATGGTTAGGGAGAATGTGCTATTTTTACAGATGGGCTACAGTGCAGCTGCTAGAAGGTTCCAAGGGAAAACTTATCCAGAAAGCATCAGTAATGGAGGAGAAGGAATGGAGAAAGACCACAAGGTGGCTGTATAAGGGATGATCACTCCTGCACACATCTGTACATACCATAATCAACACATGCCCCACGTGCCTGGCAGGGTGCTGGCCAGACTCACGCCATCTCTGATATAGATTCAGTTCCCCTGCTGTCCATGTGTGTGGCTCCATCCAGAAAGCAGTGGTCAGAGTGAGTCCCAGAGCATGAGGTGTGGGTGCCACACCTGCCTGAGCCATCCACTCCAGGTTAATCAGCCATTTGCTCAGTGGGCTCTGAGACGGGGATGGGTGGCACTTACTGACAATATTTGCGGGTACACCTACTTAATTAATCCGGAGACCCAAGTAAGGAATGGCTCTTCAGGCTCTGCTCACATGGAACTTAGTGTCCCAGGAGAAAGAGACATGGGCCAAGTTCCCTAGGTGAGGGGGGAGGGCCCTCAAGAGGGACATGGCCCTGGTCTGTGTAATGCCTCTCCTGACACTGTCATGAAGGCACAGAGATGGAAAAGAGTGGTACTCACATCCTAACCCAGTACCAGCTGAGCATGTCCCTCTTGCAGTTGGAGAGTAGGCCACTGAGTTGATGGCATCATTGCCCCTCTCAGGCTAGAAGCGCAGGG